TCTTCTGCCTTCTGCTTGATCTCCGGCCTTGGGAGCTCAGAAGTCGCTGTTCTCTCTCTGGAACGAAGGCCTGAACCGTCGGAAAGCCGGGCCAAGCACTTCGTGTTTTCGGGGTCAAGACAATTGGAGATGTATCCAACTGACTCGGAGGTATTAGGACTTATTTGGGTTTCAAGTGACACATGGAATCTGAGCTTGTGAAAACAAATAGCCCCAGTAGTGGGGATGCCAATCAAGCGACCAACTCATTGCCAATTACTTGCAAAATCTCCACGTGGTGCTCAACAACATTCAACAAGCCCAAAGGACCAATTTCTTACTTTCTCACCTTCAGCTTTGTTCGCAGTTGCTCTGCAGTCCATGATGGCTCGACCACCAGTTCAGCACAAAGCTCTCCGCTCAAATGCCGCACACGCAATAAGGGCATCGTGAAGCACAGGCAGAAGCCAGAATGAATGGACCGACTGGGTGCGTTTTCTTCGTTTCTGGCTGTAGATGTTAATGAAGGACAGAAAGAACCAGAAAGAGACTTTGACTCTATTCTAAGTCGCACCTGAAAGTCGGCACGTCTTGGACCTCAACCAGTTTAATGCTGTTGTCTCCTGGTGCTCGAGAAAGCCTGCTCACCCCCTTCACAATCTCCATGTATGCAACTAGTTCTTGCTGGTGCTGCTTCGGTACATGGATTGGTAAAAACCAAAGCCTGGTTCTGGCTTTCAGGAATCATGTTGCACAGGTGGACACACAGTGAACCATAACCAACTTGCTGCTGCATCTTTTTTGAGGTTCTAAAATGGCTACGCAAAGCACCTGAACCCAGTCTCTCAATGGACCTCCAAACTTCCAGCTTGCTCTGTTCACCTTTTGCCGGCTTCATCCAGCTGCATCTCTAGTGGCCTGCGTACAAAATGTCATTGAAGCTCTCAAGCAGAGGCACAGCCGTGCGTTGGCCCGTGGGGAGAGCCGCATCAAGAGGTTGCAACGCATACGATGACAAAACAAAACACTTGGATTGGATTGCAACAACTTGATTGGCCGTCCTCGCTTTTGCGACAAAAACACCAAAGACCATCACGGACCGAATGATATGCGGCAACCTTCTGGGCTCTGGCCTGACCTTTACATGGTGTGCAAATCCATGACGAGAAACAACACCATGACCCTTGGATCGCTGAGGATGTGACCAAAGACACATCACTCCCTCGGGTCTTGTGTTGTGCTGTACAAGTTCGTTCTGGCCAGCGGAGAAGCCAAGCTTCAATTCAAGGCACCCAAAGAAGTGCAAAAAGGCAGAGCCGTTAGAATTGGGCCTGCTTAGAATTTCAAGATACTGATGATACTGTACCGTCCTTGTCTGGAAAATGAGTCTCAGCTCAGAACACCTACTTGCTTCAGAAAGTCTCCGAGCAAACCAACACAGCGGTAAAAATTTCCAGGGGACACTCTCCAGTTGAAGAAGAAGTGCCCTTCACCGGGGAACGTGACCAATTTGCAATCACTGCCCGAGCCCTCCATCCTGGGATCTCCAAGAGTCCATGAACTGCCATTTGCTCTGACTGGGGACTGCGGGGTGGACGGAGCAAAACTTGAGGACATCTATATAGTGCTTGTAACAATATCTCAAAGGTTTCCATGTCCAGAGCACAGCCCTTTTGAAGTGCCAACAATGTAAACGTTGAAACTGTTTCTGTTGCTGGATAAGTGCGGCTGCGTAGCTTTTCTTGGAAATGCTCCACCTCTTCCAGTGGCACCAAGCGGTCCTCTGTGCCATGAAGAATCAATACAGGCTGGCGCAGCTGGCCTTGGCATCACACAGCTCAACTAACGGTGGACTGCATGTGTCCCACACCTGGAAAAGCCTCTGTCATATAACAGTTTTGTTTAAATGGATGAAGAAACTGACGCAGTTCTGTGCATTCAATCGAACCAGCTCTTCCCAGTCACAGGCGATCTGATAGATAATATAGATGCGGCTACGGACAAGGGCTATCCTGGAATGCATAAGATTGTGTGGCTCTAGGTGCCCAGGCGGGTGTTGAAGATGGGCGACTCCTCCTCTAGGATCTTCTTCCCATATCGCATCCGCAACGCGCTAGAGCCGAGCCAAGTACCTCAGGCGGCTTAATCATCCAGCATTTTTGGCACAACAATAGGAACTCCCCATATTCTTCCATCTCCTTGCCCAGGCACACCATCGGCGCTCTCGCCATCGCTCCTGGAATCGCAAGTCCAAGACTGGGTTGAAGAGCAAAAGCCTCAGTTGTCAAAGCAAAAGTGCATCCTTCCTCATTGCAGCTTGGACCGTATTTCCGTGGTCTTTCAATTTCTGAGAGATGTGTCAGATTCTCGTTTTTCTTCTACCGAGCTGCCCAGCAAGGCCAAGCCCCTCTTCAGCACCCAAGACCGCCATGGCAGCGGTGTGGCCGCCGCTGGAGGCACCTGCCAGGTTTATTGCAGGCTTGGACTCCTCAATCTGAAGAAAGACTGCCCGTAGACCCTGGGCATGGAAGGAACTACAGATGCAAAGAACTGCCTCCAATCGTCGTGGGAGACTACGGTCAACAAGTGAAACAGTGGCAACACTGTGGGAAAGAGCAATTCAGCGAAGCTGCGATCAGGGCCTGACTTTAGAAAAGTCAGAACACCTACTCTGTAGCTTCTGGTGATCCTGGAACCAAGCCTCGACTCCGGCCTGCGAGAACAATCTTGTCCGGGTCCAAACCAAAGTCATCGGCCTTCTCTTGCAAGTATTTGACGCAACGACGTGCATCCTCCACACTCTCAATCGGCACCTGGGCATTTCTGTATGTCTTTCAACATCTCTGCCGCCTCAAATCACACATGTGATACCTGCAGAGTCTATCAGAGTATACAGCACAACAAATATCCCAAGATATCCTAAGAATATACACTCAGCAAGTCTGCTCCAAAGTGGTGCCGTCCGATTTGCTTTTGACTTCAAGTCTAGATTGCCCAGCCCTGCCTTGGCACGTGGATGTGTCAACAGACAACTAACCTCGCAACATGCCGTAGGAATCCCATACTGCCGAGATACGGCCTGCAGAGAAGTGCAACCGGGTAAATGCCGAAGAAGCGGGCTACTCCGGCCACTCTTCCCTTTTTCCAAAAACATGCAAAAGACTAAAAATCATTGATCAGTAGCAAGTCAGTAGCCTGTAAGTAGCCTGTTCGCTATTGGCGGGAAGAGTCTCGGAAATACTCTGGAAGCTTCCCCAAGACCCTATTCAGCCCCTGTTGTTTGCCTTTCTTCTAATGCTTGCCCTTCTGCTGTTCCCAAGCCCGGTCCTTCGCGTACGGGTAGAACTGCGACGGTGCACCTCCGAGGAACCCACCTGCAGGTCTTCGGCGCATGTTCACCAGCTAAACCAAACAACCCCAGAAGCTTGGACCTCTTGAAGCCCTGGCTACAAAGACGAGAAGGAACAAAGAGGCACAAGCTTCATCTTGAAAGACTGGACAACGAAACAACAAGCAAAGGTGTACAGGTGATTCACTGACTTGAAGGGTCCCCTCATGACCGACACCTGTTGCTTTCCGTATGATTTGTCCAAAAGTATGAGAAAATGTAACATTGACCACACTGGTCCATGCTAAATTTCCATCAATATGCATTGACACACAGCCACCCATCATAAACATTGATCAATGCAAAGGAAATCTGGGCATGCCCACGTTCTCCAAAACAGTTGCAGCCCCAACGAATGAAAGATTCCAGAAAGTCAGGACTAACGCAATTTGTTCGAGCCAAATTTGTATCCGTTTGCTTTGGTATAGAGTCTAGAGCCAAGCCAAACGATGTACCCGCAGCAACCAATTCGGATATGGCATTGCGTGGGTGCGGGCCTCCATGCACGAACACCACGCAACCAGAAGGCGTTGTTCTTTGGGTGTTCGGCTGGAGAAGGTGCAAGTTCAGGCCGCTCATCGAATAGGTATGGACCTGAACCAACTGGAGGGATAGGTCTGAAAGGATTCCAAAATCTGAAAGAGGATCGGGCTCTTTATCCTTCTGGCATGCTGTGCAGCTCAAAGGCCGTTTCTACAAAATAAGCTATAGTTGGGTATATGTGTTATCCATCTTGACCTGCAAAGCCTTCTTTATCAATTGTGAAGCCATAAAGGCAAGTCAGGGCAACGCTACAAGGAGAACAAATCATCGTGTCAAATCCTCAGAATCCCTAGGCCAACCCCAAGTGCATAAACACATGAAGAGCAAATGGAACAAAGAACTCATGACAACCTCTTTTTCTCAACCAGCCTCGACCCACTTTGGCCGTTACCCAGCCTCACCACCAAGAGTAGAGACAAAATGCTGCTCAATTTTCTTCCTGTTGGGAGCAAGGTTGATGCCAGGCATATGACAGAATCTTTAAAGCCCTGGCTCAGGAGTTGCTTTATTCTTCCAGGTTCAGTCCTCAGGAAGGCACCAGCAAAGACTCCTGGGAGTTGATCTAACCAGGGATTTCCTAAGTCGCCAGAGGCAAAGGTCGCCATGGCTCCTCTCCTTCGACTCAAGATTCGGAGAAGGTAAACATGTCTTTGTCACTGTCCCTGTCTATTTGATCATTAGCTTGTCCACCATTGAGCACACAATTTGTTGCTCTACATGTTGTTCAACATGCAGCGGCCATTTGGGGAAACAAACTCTGAAGTCGGGCAAATGGATGCAAATTGCACTTCTTTCATGTTTGATGATTCGATTCGCAGCTTGATGTGTTCAATTTCACCTGAGCAAAATAGTCCGCAAGGAGTTCAAGATTCGTGCACAGTATTTGGATACAGGATACAAGTGCAGTGCATTGCCTGGCACTAGATTAAGTCACTTAAGAAGCTTCATTGATACTGAATTGGCAAGCAAAAACACGGGTGTCTTTCGTGTCGTTCAAGCATTAACCCTTTATTGACCTAAACTAGTCAAGTTTTTTGACCGAAATGGTTCCATTCACCGCAAAAATGATCTTCCGACCCCGCTAGCGCACTTGACCCCGCGCGGCTTTGGACCTTGCGGTGCACAGCGATGCGTTCGTCGACCGGTGCCGACCTTTCGTCGTCTTTCCCCCTTCCTTTGGCAGGAAAGTCTTTCAAGTCTAGCACCTTCAAGTCTTCTTCTTCCCAACTAGTTTGCATTCTCAAATGTTGCCACTGCTCTGCTTGGTGATCCAAGATCGTGGCTGGGCCCAGAATTGCGCCAGCTCCTGTAGCAAACGATGCGCATCAGGACACGCAGTGTTTGATTGTTGTCAGGCTCAATGTTGCTGGATGGAATGGTGCGTCGCCCAAAAATAAACAATTGAACTCTGTGATAAATCTGTCTCAGAATTGTGGTAAACGCAAAAACTACTTAAAGTTGCGTGTAGTTGCAGTTCGCCGCCGCTGGCGTCTCATGATTGACTTGGCCTGCCTCATGCAAACTGGAGAAGCCCATGGCTGAACGCTATGACGGCAGCCGGTTTCTCTCTATGCAAGCCCCAGAAACACAGATGGCAGTTGATTCAGTCAAGATGACGTGAGTCCAAAGTATTGCAAATCAAATACTGACTTCTAGTCTTGCCCGTGGCAACTTGACATGCATGTTGCATCGCATTGCTTATGAATATCTTGTCAGACAATATCACACTCTCAGGCTACTTGCCGGCTTGCTAGCAAACTGCATCATCAGCCCAATGGCAGTTACAACGTCAAGTCAAGCTATGTGTACACATATATGTATATATAACCATTCAGCTTCACTGCGTCCTCAAGGAGCTTCACAGGCTGGATGGCTTTTTGCCTTGCCAGCTTCTACCCAGCTTCCCCTCCTCGTCCAAGCGTTTCGTTCTGCAAGAGCACATGCCAAACCTCAGATGGCAAACGCAGACTGGAGTAGTGTCGACAAAGTTCATCCACTCGTGGGAACAGCTGGGCCAAAGCTAAAACGAGGTCCCGGGATTCCGGAGCAATGCGTTTCAAATAGAGGAGGGCTGTGGTTTCTTGGCCATAGATCTCCATCACTTTTTGAGACAGCCATCTGCCCTTGCGTCGACAATAGTACTCGCCATCTTCAGTCATGTGTAAATGCCATGTCGCCCCTCCGGCCCGGAGTGAGCCGGGATCAAGAGGCTTGAAGCCATACCGCTTATCAACAGGAAGTTTCAATGCTGCTAATTGAAAATGTACACGAAGAGTTTGACCCGACATGTTCCAAAGTTTCGCTTCACTCGGCAATCTACCATAGGCCAAATCAACAACTGCCAGGAGGTCGGGAATGTCAATCTTCCCTGCTTGGTGCTTAGCGCCAGTCTGTCTGGTCTTGGGTTCGGTGATGGCCAGGGTGCCAAAGAAGATTGTATGGCCAGGGTGCCTGGGCAAGCCTTCGCGCATTTAAGAGCTCTTCTGGTCTTAGGAGTGCCCCCCACATCAAGCTCAGTGCACCGGCTAACGGCAGCCAGCCCCACATCAAACAAACCGTAATCATGGCAACAAAATTTGCCATGGCATGGCGACATGATGCGTCGTAGGTTCGGCTTGCAGCCATTGAAAAGCAAGGTCCCAACTGCCCTGCATCCATCTTCTCAAAGCAGGCTTTCTAGAGGTTAAGTGGTTGATGGTTTCAGCGTATTGATTGTAAGGTCGACTGGCTCGATAAAGCGCCCGACCGAAGGCAAAAACAACAGCGTTAATTTCATCCATGTATTTTGAATGATCCCTCAACAAACCTTCAAAGTCGATTCCCTCCGAAGACAGCCACCCAATATATTGAGCCCAGTAGCGCTCTCGAAGCTTGTTTGTCCGATCCAACGTGGGCCTTAGCAGGTTGCGCCCAGCGCCCAGAAAGGAGAGGCAGGCAGCAGCGGGAGGAGCCACAGCAGAAATCCAAAATGAGGAGAAAATCCACGAAACGGTCGGCGGCAAGGCCTGGGCGAGACGATGGGCCTGCGTGGCCCCTCCCCTGGGAGGCCAAGGGTTTGATCAGAATCCATGTGATGGAAAACTTGCTGGCTGCAGTTGAAGTGGGCAATGGCAGGCGTGCTCCTCTTCAACGCCGACCATCTATATCTGGAGCGATCAGAGATCTGTGTCACAGCGCGGCCCAAAAGTAGCAGCACAAGTCTGATCCAATTTGAAGCCCACCGCTTGGTGAGGCGGAGAGAGGCAATAGCCCAAAGCTCCTGGAGTGAAAGGTTGCTCCAGCTAAAACCTTGAACTGGTTGCCGAAGAGGGGTGTCTCTGGTAGGACCATCCGCACAGTTCAGCCGGGTAGGGCAAAAAGGATTCACCATATGTAGGCCAGATGCAACCATGGTGGAGGAGATCCTCCTGATGACTCACGACAGGGGCGTGGACGAGGAACGGCCCTTCCCTAATGCACACCTACAGACACGAGCAGGACCTTTCTTTGCTTTCTTCTCAATGAGGCGTTCCACAGCCTTCATCTCTAACAGGTTGAGGAGCGCTTGAATCTCCAGGAGCTTTCAACTTGCCACTTGCTGGATAACATGATCTTATTCACACGCTGATTCTCCAGGCCACAAACCTCAGGGCATTCATCCTCAATGTATCTGGCCTTGATGATGGCCTGATGGAACACCGTGGCAAGCGCTTTGGACAGCTCTGGAGTATAAATTGCTGAAGCTTTGTATACACACCCTGTACCGCAATGTGGTTGCAGGTGCCTTGACATCTCCTCATGATTGGCTCCGGGTCAATGTCAACTCCAAGGAACGCAAAAGACATCTGATGCGGAGATCCATATTGACAGGAATTAATTTGTCCTCACTTCAACTGCCTCAGGAAGCATCTTTACCGCCTGATACGGGGGCAAGTACTTGGTCTTTGAGGAAAAGGGTCTCTCAAACAACCCAGAAGCGCCATGTACTCCAGCTTCTCAGAGAAGTTGAAGCCCCCGCAAAGTGAGGACGTTGCCATCTCTTGTCTTCTCTTCCCAAGGATCAAAACCATAAAGGCACAGGCTATCACGAAGAGCAGGCCTCCTCATGATCGAGAATGTGGTGCACGGCGGCTCCAGCATGATGCCCTTTAGAGACCCACTCTCTAAGAGGTAGTATAGCCATTCAAGCATGTATAATTGCTTCATGTCATACTCAGGCGACAACGACAGATCCAACGGCCCATGAACGTTTTCTCATCATCCCCCGCCTGCCAGGGGGGCAGATCACCAAGTTGCCTTTACGTCGTGCACATACATACCTTGGAGCGAAGATCAGCTACTATAATTTTGAGCAGTTGACTGTGAAGCATAGGATATGCGCAGGCAGGATCACATGCGCACGCTTGAGATCAATTTTCCATCGGCGTCACTCCATCTCCCTGCAGGGTCGGATCTCTGCGTGGGTAGTCTTGAGGTCCTTCGCAAGGCCTGCCTCCGTGATCTGAGACGGACTGCACGCAGTCCCAGTCACACCACATATGAAACTGACCATGTGACCATGAGCTGTTGACCAGGCCCAACCTCCCCCTGGACCCGGGCACAACAGTGCAAACACCATGCTGCACTGCCTTGGCGCTCCCAACTTGGGCTGCTAGGGCTTGCACTTGTTCAGCTAGGGAGGCGTTTGTTATCCTCTTTGCCGGAGCTTTCTTTGCGCCAGAAGTCTTTGGAACCGGCTCGTCTCGAGCGCAGTCAAAATGGAGCCTTGCAGCCCCTTCCTCTTCAGCCCAAGCATGAGCTGCTGCGACCAGATCAGGTAGGGCTGGGAGAGCCGTTGGTGAAGCCTCAGAGAAAGAATATATCTCCTCCAGCGAATCTGTGACTGGGTCATATTCTCGCAGGTGGGTCAGGACATCATCGGAGAAGTCTATGATCAAGACTTCACTGCGAAATCCAGCTTGAAAAATCGTTCCAGCCTCATCCTCGTCCACCATCTCAACGTCCAAAGTTTTGGATGGTCCGAGGAGATCATCCTCACCACTAACCATTCCTTGCTGGAGCACATCATCACGAAGCACCCTCTTGGTACTGTCAAAAGGAAACCACCTCTACGGTGAGCAACTGGGCATGCAAAACATTGAAGTTCTCCTCCACTTGCTGATAGCTCTGCGGGAACATTGAGCACCAAAAGTGAAGGGTCTGCATTCCCGGGAGCGAACGTCACTGAGGTGCGGTCCATCGCCACAAAGGCGGAACCGGCACCGTCGCCCCACAGAAAATGTAGCTCTGTCAAGCTTGGCAACTTCTCCACAAACTGGATGTCTTCGAACTCCCTCACCAGGCGGTCACAATCACGCTGCGATGTAACCCTGAGCAAGTCAAAGCCACTGCCCTTCCTCAGGACCCAGATCGTGGCCTGGCTGCCAGGCTTGTAGAGGCCATCTCCTCGATCGGTGTTGCGGGCCCAGAACCCTGCTTTGTAGGCCTCACGAGCGCGATCAGTAGGGAGTGCCTTGGATGAAGAAAGAGTGCGACGGGCAATCTCAATGCACCAACCTGGAGTCTCTGGTGGTCCGCACTCAAACTCAATCACTTGGCTTTTCCCACAGAAAAACCTGCGGGAGCACCTGGTATCCTCCACCAATCCCCAGCCTCCTCCTAAGGGCTGTGAGACTGAACTCGACGACGGGGGCTCAGAGGGATTCCTGCCCTCCACTGCCACAGTCAACGCTCGAATGGCCTCAGTGAGCGATTGCATGTCTGCCTGCAGAGAAGGGGATGGATTATCACTCATGCAAGTAGCCACTGAGGCGTGGAGTGCGACGCCGGAGGTTGGAGGAACAAATCCACGAGCAGCAGGGACCAGGGATGGCCAACCAAAGTCAAAGCCAGCCGAAGGCCCAAACCCAGGCCGAGAACAAGTCCAAGACACAGGCCAGTGATTAAGGGAAGGAGCAACGAAGGGTGGCAATGGGCCGGGCACGAGAGCGACGAAGAGAGTGCCGCAAAGGATGCAATCCCATCAGCCAGCGCACCCAAAGTCCACATACACCTAGAACCTTGAGCTTGACGACGCGGATCAGGATCATGATTAGTGCTGCATACACGCACATGTGTGTACATATATATATATATATATACTTATTACAGTAGTTGTTTTCATGTTTCTGTTACATCAAAAACAAAGCCTCTTCGACCGATCCATCAAATTGAACTGATTCACACTTGCAAAGGAAGGGCTCTCACTCTTTTTTGTCCTAGAGCGAAGGTTGGTAAACAGCCCCACCATCATCTTTGATGTTCATCTGAAACAATCTAATTGGCAAGATTCCCAATGTCACGTGTATGTCTTTTATTGTTCGATTCACTACTCAAACAGTCACAGCGACGTCAATTGAAATTGGTCTTTCAACCTCGGCACCACAAACCCATACCTGCTCTGGAAACTGAGATGTGTCTATGTAGGCTTTTGGCATCACAAGTAGCTCTTTTGGGCACTTGAAGGGGTCAAGAACCTGTATCTGTGTGTGTTCAGGCCCTCAAAGACAATGCACTGGGCGAAGAGGGTGAAAATGTGGTTCATTTGCTGTTTCCTTTGCGCTGTCTGT